GGAGCGCCACTGCACTCCCAAGCGGCGCACTCTCCAGTGCGCCACCCGGCCGGCCCAAGGGAGGTTATTTTAAAAATTGTTTAGAAATCATTTGAAATGACCCTGGTCTTTGTCACAAAGAACCTCCTAATTGTTGGAAAGTTTAGCAGTTAAGGTCTTGTAGCTACCATTAAAATGTTGGTTTCTTTCATGTTTAGGCATTTTTTCTTCCAATATTGGTTACCCAGGACAGCAATACTACTTTAATAGTTCAGGTAAGTATGTTGTTTTATTTAATAAATTTTAACTTATTTTTAAAATTATAGTGTTTGCCACTATAGAGCTACTTTAAGATAATACTGTTTTATGCTATAGTAGAATAGTTCGTGTGTTATGTAGTTGTGCCTCTAACATGCCTGGAAGCTAGATGAAGAGGTAAACCAGGGAGAATGTTTGGGTGGGTTGGTAGGGAAGGCCAGGGAAGGAGTTAACTCTGGTATGAAAATATTATGTGATTGGTGTGAGGTCTCTCATGGATGATAAGATTTATACTAGACCCAGGTCCCTTGATTCTCAGCCTAAGACTTTACTGCTGGCAGAGTGTTTGAAATTGTATCAGGTATGTGATTCTTCACAGTCCACCCCACATACATATTTAGGAAGATTCATGCTTACCCTAAGATGCTAAAATAGCCATTCCTCTAATAAATACCATGTGACTTAAAGAGGTAAATGTATTTTTCTAGATGTTTGTGTAACTAGGTAGAAAGGACTTAATGTTAAAAGCCTAAGACCTATTTTAGGATAAAGCCTTTGCATTCCAGCCTGGGGTGGCCATGGGATCCTATACCAGTGGTATACTATATCAGTACCAGCAGACAGGTGTTAAAGAAGCCATAGCCTGTGGAACCACTGAGTGTTTTAATGCAGCGTACAAAATGTTGAAATTCTGGGCCAAGCCCATGGCACACTCGGGAGAGTGCGGCGCTGGGAGCGCAGCAGCGCTCCCGCTGCGGGTTTGGATCCTATATAGGGATGGCCAGTGCGCTCACTGGTTGAGCGTGGTGCGGCTGGTCTCAAAAAGGACAAAAAAAAAAAATGTTAATTCTAAACTCCAATGTGATGGTTTTAGGTGGTGGGGCCTTCGGGAAGAAATTAGGTCATGAGGGTAGAGCCCTTATGAATGGGATTATGGCTTTTATAAAAGGAATCCCAGAGAGCTCTATAGCCCCCTTTCTGCCATGGGAGGATACAAGAAGTTGGCCATCTACAACCCAGAAGAGGGCCCTTGCCAGAACTGACCATGCTGACACCCTGATCTCAGACTTCTAGCCTCCAGAACTATGAGAAATAAATGTTTGTTGTTGAGACCACCAAGTCTACAGTTATTTGTTATAGAAGCCCAAATGGACTAAGACACTTTGATATTCATGTCAATTGAGAACGACTACAGCTGAAATCTGGGATCAGCAGCTTTTTCTATAATGAGCCAAATAGGTAATGTTTTCAGCTCTAAGGGCTATATTGGCCATATGGTCTCTGTTGCAACTAGTCAACCTGTCTTTGCAGCATGAAAGCAGCTATAGACAATTCATAAACAAATAGGTATAGCTGTGCTCCAGTGAAATCTTATTTACAAAAATAGGCAGTGGGTTGGACTTAGACTTTGAGTTGTAGTTTTCTGACTCCTGGCTTAAATAATATAGGAACAAAGAATTATTGTTAAGAATCATTTATATATTATTATTTAAAGCAAAATAATAATATTGCTTTTGCTTTATTTTCTCATAGATTGTTCTTAGCCACAGACTGGTTTACCCAGTAGTATTTTGTGAGTGGTCACATTGTGCAGAGTGCAAGACTAGCCATTGTGAGAGAGAAAAAAACGAGCTGCAGTCCCAATCTCAGTGAGCTTTTAAACTAGGAGTGGGAATGTAGGCACCACATATTTGAAAAGATGAAACAATAGAAACCAGTAGGACTAATCAGGGAGTGGAAAATAGGATACTGAACCATGGTGTGGGGTGGCACAGAATAATGGGAAGATTGCTAATAGTGCTAGATTTGTTGAGCTGTTACTGTGCCTCGGTCTAGTCAGTCTCCATCCCCCGGCTTTCCTCTGTGACTGTTCATCTCGGGGAGTCTGCTGTGCTCTGCTCCTGTTCCTCTTCCCTGTACCACAGTCTAGAAAGTGCCTCTAGGCTCATTTTCTTTATTTCCTTTCTCTCAATGCTGAAAATCCTGTACTATCTATTATACAGTGTCTGAAAATAGTTGTTTCATATATTTTCTCCAGTGTTCTATTTGATTTTGGTGGGACGGCTATCCCAGTCCTAGTTGCTCATTCATCACAGATGTAGAAGTCCAGTCCAGCAATATTAATGTAGTGGATTCAGTGCTTAGCCTGGGAGGGGCAAGTGGGGGTGCATTGTAGGAGGTTATCCAGAGGAAGTGGAGTGCTGGGTTTTGATGGGTGAATAGAAGTCAAGGAAAACAACGGGAGGAAAGGGCCTTCCAGGGAAAGGAAACAGTACTTGAAAAGGCCTATTTGGGATTATCCAGAACATCCTGGTGAGCCAATGAAGGATGTAATCAATAGAGTGATACTATTAGAGTTACATTCAAGCTGTGTTTTCTATGTCATTTTGTGAGTGGTCACATTGTGCAGAGTGCAAGACTAGCCATTGTGAGAGAGAAAAAAACGAGCTGCAGTCCCAGTCTCAGTGAGCTTTTAAACTAGGAGTGGGAATGTAGGCACCACATATTTGAAAAGATGAAACAATAGAAACCAGTAGGACTAATCAGGGAGTGGAAAATAGGATACTGAACCATGGTGTGGGGTGGCACAGAATAATGGGAAGATTGCTAATAGTGCTAGATTTGTTGAGCTGTTACTGTGCCTCGGTCTAGTCAGTCTCCATCCCCCGGCTTTCCTCTGTGACTGTTCATCTCGGGGAGTCTGCTGTGCTCTGTTCCTGTTCCTCTTCCCTGTACCACAGTCTAGAAAGTGCCTCCAGGCTCATTTTCTTTATTTCCTTTCTCTCAAGGCTGAAAATCCTGTACTATCTATTATACAGTGTCTGAAAATAGTTGTTTCATATATTTTCTCCAGTGTTCTATTTGATTTTGGTGGGAGGGCTAGTCCAGTCCTAGTTGCTCATTCATCACAGACGTAGAAGTCCAGTCCAGCAATATTAATGTAGTGGATTCAGTGCTTAGCCTGGGAGGGGCAAGTGGGGGTGCATTGTAGGAGGTTATCCAGAGGAAGTGGACTGCTGGGTTTTGATGGGTGAATAGAAGTCAAGGAAAACGACGGGAGGAAAGGGCCTTCCAGGGAAAGGAAACAGTACTTGAAAAGGCCTATTTGGGATTATCCAGAACATCCTGGTGAGCCGATGAAGGATGTAATCAATAGAGTGATACTATTAGAGTTACATTCAAGCTGTGTTTTCTATGTAGTTCTGAAGTCTTGGATTATGATTATCAATCCTGGCTGTGATGTGAATCACCTGAGGAGCTTCTGCAACATATCCATGCTTTGAATTTACCCCAGATCTGTGAAATCATAATGGGGTAGAGGCAGGGACTTGGACTTTAAAATTAAAAACAAAACAAACAAAAAAAAAAAACCTTACATGATTGGGGTTCCCTCAGCTTGGGGACCACAGAAGTGAATGCTATCACTGTCCCAAGAAGAGGCTTCACTTCTGAGCCTCTCCCTCTGCTGATGCTTAAAAATCCTAGAAACTTGGTCTTGGTGCAGAGGGATGGTTGTTGGACAATGCCAGCTCACCTGCTCCTACCTGTAGACTCACTTGAAGAGAGAAGGTGTCTTAAAAATCCTAGAAACTTGGTCTTGGTGCAGAGGGACGGTTGTTGGACAATGCCAGCTCACCTGCTCCTACCTGTAGACTCACTTGAAGAGAGAAGGTGTGATAAGTATTTATGGACAAAACTAATAAGTTTGGAAGAGCACGGGGTCCTTTTAGTTGTTGCTTATAGAGACCAGTTGACACTGACCTAAGTATAGGAGAAGTTTTACTGATTTACGTGGCCAGGAAGACCATCGTGATTCTTCGAGTATCTCCCACTGTGGTTTCTTTCTTCCCTCTGACTTTATTCTCTTCATGAGGCAGGGGATGCATCTAGCAGCTTGAAGTTATTGGAGGAAACAGAGCTTCTCTTCTGGTTCAGTTTTTTAAATTCCCCAAAGAAATAGTAATGTTCTTCCTGGCAAAGAGAGTAGTAAGAATATACTTGTGCATAGATACAGCTTAAGCTATCATAGATTACCTAGTCCTAACATCTGCCTGACAGCTGGGAAGTTGAGGCTTAGAAAAGTTAAGCAATTTGACTAAAGTCACACAGGTAGTTGTAGAACTACGACAAAAATGCAAGTCCCTAATTTCTAGCCCCTGCTTTTTCTATTTTACAAGTACAGAAGATGGGCACTCTGCCAATTTAACCTTACAAAATAGGGCAGTTGTACTCACTACCTTTTCCCTTTTTTTCTTTCTTTTTTCATTTTGTTTTCTTTCTTTCTTTTTCTTTCTCTCCTTTCTTTCCTTCTTTCCTTTTTTCTTTTCTTTTGTACTCTATTAAAAAAAAAAAAAAGAAGGGAAACCTGCTCCTTTCCTCCTTCATATGAAGAGTCATAGGCACAGCAGACACACAGACCCAAGAACTAAAGGCAAAAATAAAAGCCCCTTTTACCTTTCTTATCCTTTATAAGATTACCATATTTATATTCTTTCCTCTGAAGTGATTAGATTTCTTCAGAGGCAGAGCTACATAAGGCCAGGTGGTCATGGTAATGGTCATCTAGGGAACTTTTATGAGAGCATATGTATCTGTTACAAGTAATGATTTATTCTTATATGGCTGTCCTTAGCTGGAAAAGTCTTTATAGGTCAAAGAGTCTCATGAATGTTTAAAAAGCTGTTACCAATTTTTCTAATCTTGGTGGTGTTTCTTGATCTCCTTTGCCATGAAATCCTGGTATGTGTATAAGGAACAGATGGAGTCGTTAATAGAATAATGATAACCAGAATTTCTACTACAGAGCCAAAGTTTATAGCTAAAAAAGACATTGTAGGACATAATTTAAACTTATTTATCTTAAGTGTTTGATTATTACATTTGTCCAGGAATGTTTATTATGAAGATTTAAAAACATCTGATTGGCTGGCAGAACAGCTGTAGAAAATTTGTGGTCCTAGGAGACCTGTTCTCATTTTAATAGATATTGATGGGATTTTTGGTCTTGATGATTTATGATTGATGATATAGAACATTTAACTACACTAGTCTTTTTGACTTAAGGCACCAACTCTCTCTCCTCATGTTTTGTCTGACAAGTACCAAATTAGGTTTTATAATATTCAGATGTTTAGAGTTGTCAACTTTATTTCATTAAAGCACTGTTAGATTGTTCTTAAATAAGAAATAACAAGAAAAATGTTTTTCTATATCAAGAAATGTTGTCTCATCACTGCTGATGTACCTGGCAATTAAAACCCTACAGATATTTGTAGTATTTGTATAGATGAGTATTCAGAGACTTTGGGTTATTTTAGATATTGAAATAGCTGAGCACTTTTGGGGGGTAGATAGGTAGAAATGCTGCTGAGACCTTTCATAACAGAATGACTTTACACAAGGGTTTGAAAGTGATAATGAGCCATATGGGAAATTATCCAATATGCTTTTTGTGTTGCAGTAAAATAATTGGCACTCTTAGGGAATTGGACAGTCCCTGTATTCAGAGATTGTTGAAGCATCTCATGGTATTCAGTGACTTAGCCATAAATATTTCATTAGTGTTTTAGAATGGTTGCCCCTTTCTTTTGTTCTTTGTGGATATATTAATTGTGTTTTGACTATTTGCCCTTGTATTAAAGGTCTTTTTTGGTGAGGAATATAGAAAGCAAGAATTCTAACACTGATACAGTCTTCTTTACTCCCAGGATATGAAACTTGCTGGTGAATGTTCTCTGACACAGCAGTGGGTGCTGAATTTTTCTGATGCTTCTATTGGGTAGAGACCAATTTGAGAAGGAGTATCCATATTTAAAATTGTATCCAGATCTCATTTTGTTCCTAAACCATTGTGAGGATTTAGAAAATTTACCTCTTCCTCCTGTTTTAAATATCAATAATGTTAATATTTTGACATGGGAAACACATGAGAGAGAATATGGAAGTTGGGTTATTGGAGGTATTTAGTAAATCCTCAGTAATTTTTACTGCATTAGGAGCAAGGCTTTTCAGAATTAGCCCCCCAAATCCTGAACAATTTTATTTAATGTTTATTTAAATCATTCATTTTTGTTACTTTCAAGGACAGTCAGTAAAAAGAACCAAGCAAGAAGAGTAATGTAATAATCAGTAAGAATGGGCAAAGGATCTGAATAGTCATTTCTCCAAAGAAGATATATAAATGGCCAATAGGCACATCAAAAGATGTTCAACATCAGTAGTCATCAAAATCACAGTGAAATACCAATTTATACCCACTAGGAAGGCTATAATTAAAAAGACAGATAATAACAAATGTTAGTGAGGATGTGGAGAAATTGGAACCTCATACACTGCTTGTAGGAATGTAAAATGGTGCAACCACTTTGGAAGACATCCTGGCATTCTTCAAATGGTTAAATCAAATTATCATGTTAACCAGGACCATACTCCTTGGTATATACTCAAGAGTAATGAAAACATATGTCCACATAAAAACTTGAGTACAAATATTTATAGCAACATTATTCATAACAGAGAAAAGGTGGAAATAAACCACATGTCCATCAACTGATGTGAGGATAAACAAAATGTGGAATATCCATACAATGGAATATTATTGGACCATGAAAAGAAATGAAATACTGATACAGGTCACAACACTGATGAACCTTGAAAACATTACACTAAGTGAAATGAGCCAGACACAAAACACTATGTACTATATGACTCTATTTATATGAATTGTCCAGAATGGGCATATCTATAGAGACAGAAATTAGATTAGCATTTACTTAAAGCTAGGAGGGATGGGAGATTGAGAGCTATGAGCTAAAGGGTACGGATTTCTTTTTGGGGATTATGAAAATGTCTAAAATTGATTGTGGTGATGGTACAACTGTATGAATTTATTAAAAACCATTGAGTTGTACACTTTAAATTGGTGAATTGTGTGATATGCCAATTTATATCTCAGTAAAGCTGTTCTACATCATCAATAGACACAAGTATTTTAGGTGACGAATATTTATATAAGCACAATTATATAGATTTTCAGCTAAAACTAGATTAGTGTGTCATTGTCATTCTAGTGTTTATATGAAAATAAAGATTTCTAGAGTGCTGAAAATTTTTATGGGAAATAAACTTTTCCTTTTAATTTTGCATATTTGGAAAGTACTTTGTTCATAACCAGTACAAAAGTAAATTTTAAAATAGGTTCAGGACCAATTATGAAAAGTTCTGAATATGAAATCTCAGTTAACCAACTTCTGCCTGATAGTGTTTCTCTTTTTGGCTTGATTATGTCTTCTCTATACATAGTCTTATTAAAGCTATTGCTCAGGCATGTTCTATGTTGGATGATATGGAGCTGTATGACCAAGATCATAGTAAAGGTGAGGAATCTTCAACAACACCTAAAACATGTTAATTAAACATTTGAAATACATCTTCAAAGTGTATGATAATGACAGGAAAGCAGGGAAAACATTAAACAAGCTGTTACTTCTCTCTCATTACACCATAGTGAAATTGGTAATCTGTGGGGGGAAAAAAATCTCTTCCAAACAAATTCTGTAACAGTTGGCAACTAAAGAAAATGTAAGGCATAAACTCAAATTGGCTGAAAAAATTGATGGAAAATTTTGCAAAAACGAACTTTGCTCTGTTATTGACCTTTATTAATGGAGTCTCTATCTATGGTACTTAAAGCATTATTTAATGAACAGATTATCTACTTTCTTACCTTATCTAGCAACCAATTTTTCAAAAGTGCTATCAGTAGATATTACAATCTCTGACATAGAATTATAATTACAGAGAAGTTGGCTTGTCCATCTTAACGTCGTCATTACTGTCTGAAATATGATACCCAACACAGAAATTCTCTAGTATGGGTATTAAATAAACATTGGTCTACATCTCATCATATGGAGCCACAAGACCATAAGGCTTTATTGGTTGTTTCCATTTATTATCTTGAGTCAAGTCAGAACTTCACTGAAAATACTCCAAGTGTTGAATAGCTCTACTCTGAAAGAATCTGTTCTGGATATCAATAGCCCTTTATTGTCCTCTCCCCAGTACCTCTGACTACCTTCTAAATTAATATCTCTGTTCTTTATTAGCATGTAAAGACTCCTTCATGTTGGGTGGATACTGCAGATTACAGCAGTGACAACACAAACATTGCCCACCCTCCTGGAGGCATTCTTTGTCACCTTTTCTTATTTTGAGAATTACTGTTACACTAAAATTAATGACATGAATTCTTTGCTTGTCTTTGCTTATACAAAATAGGAAGTATGAAACAAAAGAACAGTCCATAGCTGTGTTTTGTAACCTCTTTATTGTGCCTATAGGCCACTCTGGGTATCAGGATCATTATCCATATGGCAGGCAAGGTTACTATGAAGAAGCACCCAGGAACTATGATATGTACACAGCAGGACTGAGTGAAGAGGAACAGCTGGAGAGAGCTCTAAGAGCCAGCCTCTGGGACCGAGGTAGGAGTCTTGCACCCTTCAGTTATTTAAAGCATACCTCATGTGGTGAGATGGTCTGAAAAAGGGCTGTTTGTAGCAAATTAAACTTTAAATAGTTTATAAAAAGGATATGTAGATGACAAACGTGTGCAGATTGTGATTACAAAGAGTGGGGTGTGATGCCATATTCCCAGCAACCTAAGCTGATGAGGTGCCAGACTGTGTACATATTTTTAAAGTGGCTCTTTTTATAGGTCTGCTGCACTCAGTGCTATGGCATTAAAGTCATAAAACTTAAAAAAAAAACTTAGATACATGAAAAAAGGGATTTACTTTGGAATTCATATCTACAAAGCAGGCTTTATGTCTCTATATATCAAAATGTAAACCATAAACTTCCCACAAATCTCTCTCAAAATCACATGGACTAAGAACCAATCTCTCTGGGGGAAGAGCCCAGGAATATGTATTTTTAACAGGCTTTCCAGAAGACTCTTTAGCAAACTGATATATGAGAACCACTGTATTTGTTCTGCCATCTTTGTTCTGGGTTTGGCTCAAGAGTTTGGGTATTACTGTTTTATTGTTAACAGTGACTAAAAATTGTCTATTCATTCAGTGTTTCATGTACTATGTTAGGTACAATAGGGAACAGAGAGAGAAAAAGATAGAACCTGCCCTCAAAAAGTTCACCATCTCTCATTGGGCATATGCCTGCTGGTTGTTAAAACATACAAGAAAACCATAAATACAAGTATCAGATACCCAAGAGAGGCTCAGGCCAAATGCTAGAGGCAGGGGCGGGGTGCACTTTTTTCTTAACTAGAGCTGTCAGGTTTTCACACAGGAGGTGATATTTGAGTTGAGCCTTCAAGAATGTGTAGTGTTTGCAGAGATGTAGAAGTGCATCAGCACAGACACAGTAGTAAGGGGTGTGCATGTTCAGCCAGCCCTCACTTTGTTTCTTAACTAGAGCTGTCAGGTTTTCACACAGGAGGTGATATTTGAGTTGAGCCTTCAAGAATGTGTAGTGTTTGCAGAGATGTGGAAGTGCATCAGCACAGACACAGTAGTAAGGGGTGTGCATGTTCAGCCAGCCCTCACTTTGTCGAGCAGAGCATTAAGAGAAGAAGGGGGAGAAGAGTGGGAAGCTAGGCTGGGGCCTGATCAGAGATCCTAGAATTAAATAGGCCAAGTGGAAAATGGATTCAGTATATGGTGTAAGTGCCAATAGAGTTCTGCATGGGATAGTGATGTGATCAGAGGTGTTTTATGATTCTGGCTGCAGTCATTCTGCAAACAAGGAGTGAGCACTTGTGGGGTACCAAGCCTAATGCTAGATGATGAGAATGCATAAATTATGAGAACACAGTGTCTGACTTTAAGTAATACAGTCTTAGCAGCAGCAGTGTGCATGGAGGTGGGGGATGACAACAAGTGGGGAGACAAGCTGGAAGACTGTATTACAATAGTCCAAACAAGAAATGAAAATCTAAATTATGAAAGTGCAGGGGAAGTGGAGAGTAAGAGATGTCAGTATTTCTCATGTGAAGAGTATTAGTAATCTGTTGCTGTGTAACAAATCACTCTAAAACTTGTGGCTTAACACACTAAACATTTATTCTTGCTTATGCATTCCTGGGTCAGCTGGGCCAGGCTTACTTGATCTTGGCTGGTGAGCTCAGGTGTCTACCATGGTCAGCTGGGGGCTGGCTGCTCTAGAATGGCCTCATTTACATGCCCGTCTGACTGTTGTCTCGTGGTGGTGAGTGGCCCACGCCTCAGTCCTCATCCAGCAAGCTATCCCAGACTCATTCACAAGAGCCAGGCTTACTTGATCTTGGCTGGTGAGCTCAGGTGTCTACCATGGTCAGCTGGGGGCTGGCTGATCTAGAATGGCCTCATTTACATGCCCGTCTGACTGTTGTCTCATGGTGGTGAGTGGCCCACGCCTCAGTCCTCATCCAGCAAGCTATCCCAGACTCATTCACAAGGCCACAGCATTACAGCTCCAGAGTGTGGAAATAAGCAAGGCTTATGGTGGCACAGTGTCAGTTCCACTGCATTAGGTTACTAGACCAGCTCAGGTTCATGGGATAGGAAATAGATTCCATCTTTTGTTAGTGGTACAGCAAAGTCACATTCCAAAGGTTGTGGATAGAGTGAGAGGTGGAGAATTGGGGCCATTTTCTTAAAATACTACATCACATGCAGTCAATGGACTGCCAGCATCACAATCACTAGAAGCACACCTTAGCTATGGAATCCCAAAATTGGGGAAGAGCCCAGAACCTACATTTTAACAAACTCTTATGGTTATTCCTATGCACACAGGGTTTATTCACTACTGGGCTAGACATGAAATATTATGGGACAAGTAGGGCAGGCAAAGCTTCTAAGCATGGACTTTGTACAGCTCATCTTCATCTCTTTCTAGACTGATTTCAAATAAAGTCTGAAGAACCAAGGAATACAGCATTATAGAAAAGATTCAGACCTATATTTTGGGGGAAAACATCCAATTATTACCTTCTGTTAAGAAAATGTATAGTCTAAAGTAGCAGGGCTTCACAAATGTTGAAAAGGTGATCAAAAGTCAGAAGTAAAATCAGGTAACGTGAGTCGGGGTATCTGAATGTGGGATGTAGAAAATGTCTCATGTTAAGTGTAGTCAGAGAAAGGAAATGCAAGAAGACAAGCCTGCTTTTGTGGTTACAGGTAAATAGTTAATTATTGATTTTTGAATACAGGCTTTCTAAACAAAAAAAATGAAAAATTTATAGAAGATAAGAGCAATAGATTTTCTAATAAAAAAACTGACAAAGAATTAATATTAAATGTAAAGAACCCATTTACATAAATATGTAAAGAAGCCATACAATGCAATAATTAACACTAATCCCTACTAGGAAAATGGAATAAAATTTGAAGATATAATTTTTTTAAAAAGACTTACAAATGAGCAGTATGCATCTGAAAATAATTTGCTATATATTATCAGAGAGTTGCTTAGTTTTTTTCATCTTAACACATTTAATGTTGGTAGTGATACAGGTATATTCTACATGCTGCTGATGAGAATTCAAATTGGTATGACCTTCCTGGAAAACACACTGGAAATGTATAGTCAAGAGGCTTACCTTCAGTGGTTCCTTGACTAGCAATTTAGTCTGAGGAAATAGTAGAGGTATGGTCAAAAAATTTGTTTACATGTTATTTAGATATAATGATGTAAATATAAGTAGATTGAAATTTGTATAACAGTGTGAGCAATGGTTAAATCAGTTATGGTTTAGTTGTAAAATGGGAATATTAGGCATGTATTAAAAATAATGTTTTTGAAAAATTTAGTGATGTGAAAATATGACTACAACATTATTATTGAATGAAAAAAGGTTAGGCGCAAAATAGTATGTACTGTATGATCAAAATTTTATAAAATAACCCAACTCAAGCCAAATATTTTCCCACAGAAAAAAGAATAAAAAATAATAAAGAGCTTAGACAGTGTCTCCTTGGTATCTAATACTTAATAAGAAAGAGTGTTTTAAGGAAAATAAAATTGAAATTAATATAAATAAAAAGCTACTTCATTTGCTATTGTCTGTTACTGTATAATGCACTCAAGAAGTATCTTTAGATCAGCTTTCTTGAAACTAGTTCCATATGCTGTTTAAAACATTCATTGAAAATAAAATCCTGTGATCAAACAGGTTTGGAAAACATTTTTTAATAAATTGGTTTCTTAAATGCAGAGATAATTAGAATCGTCAGTAAACCAGTATCATGTTGGATCTTCAAGGAAGCATAGTTTGCCATATTTCCCAAATTTATTTGCGTAGAACGTGTGTGTGTGTGTGTGTGTGTGTGTGTGTGTGTGTGTGTGTGTGTGTGTGTGTG